CACGTGGCACCAAACCGTCGGTTTCGAAATTACGGTTTCGGTTCGATTTTTCGATTTGACGATTTTTGCTTACAAGCCTATGTAGCTCTATGCCCAGCTTCCTTCCTCTGTAAAAGACTTGCTGGCCTATAATAAAATCTATTTTCTTATCTCTTTTCTTCCTCGTATTAATTGATGTGCCGTGACGTGTTGTCTAAGACATAAGGAGCGTGGTAATGTCATTTTGGCCATTTTGAAAATGCGGTCGTTTTTATTGATGGCCATTGAACTTTAATTAGTTAAGACTCATCTCGAACTTGATTTATTTCATTCAGACCATTGATTTAGTTTGAAGTTTAATTTAACTAAAAATCTTACATGTTCTTGTGCCAATATCAAATAGTTATTTTCAGTAAAATCCTACTACTTGGCAAATGAACATTGAGAATGTGTAGTTGAAAAATATATATCAATCTAAGTCGGGAAATCGAACAAAATATCTTGTAAACTCCGTTGATGTCTGAAACAATAGGGGTGAGGGGCCGATTGGGGCGGGATGATCTACCATATCGACATGGGGTTTTTGATCCATACAGTACTTAGTAATAATAATAATAATAAGTAAGGGTTGGCTTAGAACGGGACAATGGGCAAGGTAGAAGGCAATAATAGTAAAGAATAAACTGACTAGCCGAATCAATGCTCTTTCATCTCATACATAATCACCGAACAATAAATTCCCGTTCTATTTATGGTTCTTATGGAGCTACATTGCAGCAAATCAATTTTTACGACTTCTTTATTTCGTTCTTTTAGGTGCTTTTTGGAAAAAAAAAAAAAGTGGTTGAGATGATACCAAGCCCATATTTGACTCGAATTTCTAAACCTTAATTTTTTCAAATTAATTTTCAACGACACATTTCAATGAAATAATTTTCATATGGATTATAAATTTTCTTTATTTTGTAATAGTACATGCTTAAAAAAAATCATTTTTCAGAAAATTTATTTTAAAAAAATCTCGACTAAATAGGGGATAAGTGGTAAAGTTATGTGATCATTGGTGAAATTAAGGGGATACGTGTAAAGTTGTGTGATCATTGGTGAAATTAATCCAAAAGAACCAGATAATGCCCTTGTTTGGTGCACATTATTTCTAAATTCATTTTTTTCTATCTTATTTTTAACCACACATTATTCAATAAATTAATATTACTTGTAAATTCAAAATTTTTTATTTTTTAATCATACATTCTCTATCGAATTATTATTCTAAAATTAATTTTGGCAAGAAAATAGGGTTTTAAACAAACTCAATAAAGAGTAATCTTTCAAATTTTCATTTTCCTTTTTCGTGCCGTACATTCTTTTAACAATCAACATCAAGCTAGAACTTGCAATAGACATTACGTAGTGCACAAGTGACAGTACAATTATATAACGAACCTTGCTTCATGTACACCATGCTTTATGGTGTACACTCCCCTCACATAAAGGGGAGCCCACAGTTTTTTTAGAATATTGCTATGTGTACATAGCATGGTCCATTTTTTTATTCATGATGGGCCCCTCACATGTGAGGGGGCTGTAGACCATGCTGTATAGCATGATGTACAACCATCATTATCCTTATATTCCGTGTAGCAAAGCCCGCTAGATGTCACACGCCCCCCTTTGACACCTATTAATTTCTCATTCTCATTCTCATTCTTCATTTCAACCACACATTCTTCAAATAAAATAATATTACACACAAATCAAAAAAATTTCATTACTTTTCCATCATACATTCTCACATCAATCACTATTCCAAAATTTCTATTCTCCNCCGTTTGGCACCCATTAATTTCTCTTTCTCATTTCCATTCTCATTCTCATTCTTCATTTCAACCACACAATCTCCAAATAAAATAATATTACACACAAATCAAAAACTTTTCATCACTTTTCCACCACACATTTTCACATCAATCACTATTCCAAAATTTCTATTCTCCTCAAAATTAGATTCAAACACACCAACTCAATAAGAACTTGTACATGAAGAATTTTGTTACAATTTCCAAAGGTACAATCTTTATTTCCAACCACGACGCCAAAACTCAACATCTTGTATCAGAGTATAATCGCTCCACGTCCAACTGAGATCTTTCATCTCCTTCTCACCACCGATTCGTCCACCTTCTCCACCGCACTCAAAACACGCAGAACACACACTTAATATACATGCATATTTTTGTATCTACATCGGCGGAGATAAACTATTATGGGTGGAAATAACAGAAAAAAGTTGAAACAAAGCGAAAAGTCGCAGGTCACAGGGCTCTGCTTCTTCTTCCGAAGGAGCCCTCTTTGTAGAAGGTGGAGTTTTATCTGATTGGTCCGCTTTCAGTCCTCCTTACAGAGTTATTAATTTCTGAATTTGTAACTAAAATATGCGTATTTAGATATTTGTTTCTGTTTCTTTAATGTTTTTTCTGTTAGGGAGGAAGTGGAATAACGGTGAAAATGGGAAGCCGAAGTCGGGTTCGAGATCAAGGGAAGGAAAGGGGAGAAATTCAGATTCGAAACCTGGGTCGGGATTGGGTCCTAGCAGCGAGTCTAGGAAGAGTAGAGGAAATGCAGTTGGTTACGTGTACACGAAGGTATACCTGTATATATTTTTTGTGAGTATGATAATAATATACAATTTTTTGTGTGCAAGGATGAACAGTTAATGATCGAGATTTTGAGCTGAGATGTTTGTTTTTGGGATTACTAAGAGATTCTTCTGAAGCACATTTGATTGGCTTTCACTTGAAATCGGATATGTCTATTTTAGATTTATGCTAAAAGTGACTTTGTTGCTGAGTTGCTCTTTTGTTGACAAACAAAGTACATACAAGTAATTTGTTCTGTAGCATGTTAGTTTATACCGAATTTCGAAGTAAAATGTCATTAGTTTGGCATTGCTACAGGATGAAACAGTGAAGGGTGATTCTTTCTGATTGTATTTTAGAAAAAAATGAAACTCGACTTGTAATATGGTCATAGAGTGAAATATGTTCTTTGCTCACTTCATGTACATAAATGTTTCTAATTAGAGGAAATTTTATTACTGTGTTACTATTTTTTGTCGGCCCCTGCTTCACTCGATGTATACAAAAATTCATTATAATTTACTAAAATTATAATGTGATAGAAATGAGTGGTGAATAAGTTGATAGTTATTGTGGATCATATGAAATGTGTGGTTCAAATTAAAATATGACATTGACAAAGTTATAAGGAGATTATGAAAGGAAAACAAGCACTTATAATGTTGGACCATTAGTAATTCTCTTTTATTGTCGAGAAAATGCATTTACCGATGGGGCTGAAAACAGAAAGAGCAATTTCGACAAGTCAAATCCTGTAGTTTTGATTGATTCCGAGAAGACCCCAATTGTTGCCTATTTGGATGAAGGACCAGTTAACGAACCCCAACCCTTTGAGTATATGCATGACTATACTGTGAATTTTACATTGGATGATACCTCGCATACATGATTGGGTTTCTACGATGAAGTGGAAGCAACAGCGGGTGGTATTGGATCATTGCCCAAAATGGTGGAGACAGAAGGTTCTACTTTTGACTCAGCTTCCTCTGAGAAGGACGAGATGGATGCTGATGTTGATTTTGTTCATGGTGCAAGTACTGAAATGGATGAGGAATTCCTGGCAGAGTCGTCAACTTCGGAGGAAAATACAGGCTTTCTGGTAATTGGAGGTAGGAAAATATATACTCATGATATCTCTTAAAAGGATGAAGAAGAATTGATTGATGAAGAAAGCTCAGGTTCTTATGACACAGAAGATTCCTGCACATCTGCTGATAGTGATGGCTCGTCTTATAGTGGTTCAGACATTGATGAAGAGGTTGCTGCAGATTACTTTGAGGGCATTGGTAGGGCATACAACATTGTAAATGTTGGTCAGTTGGTTGGTCAAATTTCTGAAGTCTTCTGGCAATCATAGTGATTCCAAGGAAAAATTTGATGACACTCTAGAGAAGTTGGGTGGGATTGCTATTCAGGAGGCACCGAGAAAGTATGGTATGAGGAAGCCAGACTCAGGAAGAAAAAATCACGTGGAAGATCCCAAATCTTCAGCTGTAAGTGTGCTTGGTCATCTGCTCTGGATGATTTAGTGCTTGTAAAGGATCCCAGAACTGTTTCTGGGAGAAAGAAACAGGTTGCTAGATTTCGACAGTCTTGGCCTTCTGAAGGTCGCAAGAACAAAAATTTCAGGAAAATACCCGGTCAGCACTCTTGTGACATTGAATCTCGTGGTAATTGATTATTCGTCCATTAGATTCTTCTTTGTAATTGGTTTTGACTTATTTGTAAATTCTTCTGTGTGGTGTATTGAATGGGGAGTTGTGTTTTGATAGTTTCTTTTATTTTTTTAACCCCATATGATTTACTAATTTCCTTTTCTTTTAACCCCGTACGTTTTACTAAGGGAGCAACTAAAATTCAGATTGTTATTATTATTGCTTTCTTTTGACGTTTGATTATTCATCCACAAGCCTTCAATCTCGTTGCATATACTGGTAGCTTATGATTTCAGGTGAAAAAAAGAATCACTGTAAAGAAATGATTACAGCAAAGCGTCTAGATAGAATGATTCGCCATGGTGTAGATCTTCAACAGATAAATTCGGTAAGAAAGAAAGCAAACTCTGTATCCAGAGCCAAATAGAGTTCGTCTTGTGATGATGTTTGGTCTTCCTTATTTATTTTGAAAATGTTACTGATGCTTGCAGCTTCAGCGTAGTGGCTTGATCATCCTTATCAAGCTTTGATTCCAGATTCAGATTCATAAAAAAAGAATTATGAATGATGAAGCAATATGTTTATGACTTTATGTATTTCTTTCTTGACTCTTTTAGTATTTCTTTTCGTTATCTTAATATCTATGTCAATCACAACTCACTTATCTTTTTCGTTTTGATCCCAAAATCAAAATTACTATATACTCTTTCATATCCTGAGTTAGTTATTTTTCCTCGACACTTCTTCAAATCTCTTGTAACAGAGAACTTTTCTGGAGCACGGATTCCCAAAACTGTCATCTTATTGCCTTGTCTATTTGTATTTGGCGAGTATACATGCCAATAACGCTAATCTACTCTTCTTATACAAATCTAACTAATATTACTTTCCCTAGCCAGTTTAACTTCTAAGACTTCATGTTTTAAACACAGTTTAATGATTATTCCTACCCCGTTTCTATTCTTTTCCTTGCCCTTTTACCAAAATTTATATTCATTATTCTCTAATTATTTTGCTTTCTCTCCCACTCATATGACCCCTTGTATGCAATCCATGTTAACTTTACTCCCATGCACAACATCTACTAGTTCTAAAGATTTTTCTTCAAGTGTCTCACTATTCCACGTTCCTATCCTAAATCTAATATTCTGGTTCATAATATGTGTGACAATGATTGTTCAATTGCTTTTCTAGCATGTTTGTCATTTTCCTGTTATGGTTATTAGCAAATACTTGTTAGTCCTAAAGCTCTTGATGGCAGGCATCACTTCCCGTGCTACAACGATGTTGAAATTAATTTTATGCACGAGCCATCTAGTGCCTGTCCGTTTTAGATTATTTCTCAAGAAAATCAATTGTTTACCCCTTTTTTTCCACAAAATTGGCCCCACTATCACACAATTTCTTCAAATATGGCGACTGCAACGGTCAGAATTATGATTTCTAGTGGAAACAAACAAGCCCCTAATATTGCGATCAATTGAATTATGTGTTTATTAATTATACTCGACACTGAGGCCAACGTGTGCACTTTATTACATATATGAGCCGAAGCATGTATTGTTAGTCATGTTACTTGAATTTCGAATGTGACAATGGTCTCTCAAAATAGGTTTGGCTATTTTAAGATCAGCTGTGCAGGCAGGAGGTTTTGTCAGTTAGACTTGATATCCTTGGAGTCTTAGTACTCCTCACCCCTCAGGACAAAGAGTTATGATAAATAGCTCATAAAATTTGGTATATACCTGTGATGTGACTGATGTGGAGACATGATCATTTTTGTTCTCTTATTTTACGCCAATTGTGCATCAATAATCTTACTCGTCTTTCTGCTCTAGTTTTTCTGTTCTAATGTATGTGTATGGTTGGATGTGAAAATTTGTTTTAGTAGAAAAGAAGTTTCTGGAAAGAGAAATGTTCTACTTTACTTGAGAATGTGATGTGATCTAACTTAAGTCAACCGGGAACTGGACACAGTACTTGTCTTTAATCGTTCATATTTCAAGTATCAGTATTATTCAATAAGTTTTGGCTAGAGAAGTCTATGAAATGACCAACAACACTTTATTTTGAACTGTAGAAGTTGCAGCAGATGGTTTTGGATGGAGTTGATATGTTAACTTTCCAGCCTACGCACACACAAGATTGTTCTCAGGTATTAGGCAACATGCCCATTCCTCTAGCTATAATTTAGCCGCCGTTTGGCAAAATTTATAAATAGTCAAACTTCATTTTCAATCACATATTTAAATGGACCCACAAGTACTATCCACTTTTACACTGCTCATTTCTCTATTTATGAATTAAATCATTTATAAATTCCTCCCAAATGGATATAGCATTTCCCTCCATATATAATCATGTCAGCTTTTCCTTTTGTACAGTGAGCATCTGTCATTGAATTAAAATGCCCTAAGTTTTCATAAATCTTGGAGTGTTACAAAAAATTCACGATTCTTTATGTTAAAAGCAGAAGCGATAAAAATAAAATTCTTTAATAAAAATATTTAGAATATCCATAAATTTAAACAAAACATGAAAATTGTATCTTTAAAAAAAAAAAACATAAACACCTAACTAATTAAATAACCTGTCTTTGAACAAATTTAAACTAACTAATAAATTGAAGGACAAGAAAACTTAATGTTCATTTTTTTTCTTCGATCCAATTGGCAACCCATACCACCATCTTGCCACAAATCTGATAAGCCCCCAATTAAATATACTTATTCTAGAAGAAACAAGAAGAATAGGAAAGGGGGCAGACATTAACAAATTCGGTTAGAAAAGGGTGGGGTAGCCAAAATTTGTTACGAGAGCATATAAATAGAATAAAAGGGTCAGTATTGGGGGATATCCCTTTTATCATTGAGTGAAGTCTTTTGTGTGGAGAGTTACAGTCCTCTCAAACGGTTGTTACCTTTATTTCAATATCTTGTAATTCCATTTCCAAGAATCAGTACTCAATTTCATTTCTGTTTTGATCTCAACTACATCCTAGTCGAATTTCGGAGACAGAACCTATCAAAATCCAATCGACCTTAACTAACCAGTAACATTATTGTAAATGTGAGTATTTAAAAATACCTAATAATATATGTGCAGTTTTTGTACACAATTTATATAACAATAAAATTTACACTTTATACCACTCTTTTCTTATGAAGCATATCGGTGAATAAGTGAGACACTCATCTTAGGTCATCTCGAATTCTCGAAGTATTTCACATCTCTTAATAAAGAACCGGAATATCCACTGGTAATTCATGCATAAATTATTGAATATAAAAGCACAAGGAAGCGAACCAGTTGAACAAAAGTATCTTACCTTACTAGATCAAAATAAAATTGTTGAAACAAATATGATTTCACGTTCCAATATTTTCTTTCTTGGCTATTGACGTAAAAACTTTATATATATATATATATATATTGTGATGATCCTGACTTTTCAAAGTAATCTCTCTGTCGAGTTTTTCTCTCGCGAGTGTACAAATTTTGTGGTGAATGATACAACCTTTGCACAGTATTTATAGCTAAAAGAAATTGTATTTTGGTACAGGTGGGATTGAGATGCCGTGTTCCACTATTGATCTAGTATTAGAGTAATGATTCCTTTTAAAAGGTGGAGTTTGAATCGGTATAATTTATATATTTGACTAACACTCATCACAAACAAAACTGGATGATGATTAGTATCAATCATAAAAGCACCCTATATTCAGATATAATGAGGGAACAATCCTCTCGATATACCATCTTATAAGCATTATGCGACCTCAATGGAGAGACAATGCTTGCTTCATAAGAAATATAGATTATGAGCTATATTTGCCTGAAGATTGGGACATGATTGATTTTAGGGAATACTGTGAGGATATCATAATTTTATGGAACCACAGACAGCAGGACCCGGTGCCTGAGCATGAACCCGACTCTAGCAAGAGCCAGAGCCAGTCTCGTGTAGAATATATGGTGCTTTTATGATTGATGCTAATCGTCATTCAATTTTGTTTGTGATAAGTGTTAGTCAAATATATAAATTATACCAATTCAAATTCCACCTTTTGAAAGTAATCATTACTCTAGTACTAGATCAATAGTGGAACACGGCACCTTAATTCTACATGTACCAAAATACAATTTCTTTTACCTATAAATACTTGCAAAGGTCCCATCATTCACCACAAAATTTGTGTACTCACACAAGAGAGAGAAACCCGATAGAAAGAGATTGTTTTGAAATATATATATGCACAGACACACACGGCGAAAATCGAGTTTTGACGTCAATAGCCAAGGAAGAAAATATTGGAACGTGAAATCATATTTGTTTCAACAACCTTATTTTGATCTATCGAGGTAATATATTTTTGTGCAACTGGTTCGTTTCCTTATACTTTTACATTCAGTAATTTATGTATAAATTGTCAGTGGACATTCGGACTCTTTATTAAGAGATGTGAAATCTTTTGAAATATGCGTCTCGCTTGGTCACGGATATACTCCGTAAGAGAAGAGTGATGTGAAGTGTAGATTTTATTGTTGTATAAATTATGTATGGAAACTAAACGTAAAGTGAACAATATAACTCCTGTTTGAGCCCCATTATCTCAAAATACATTATTTCCTCAAACTCATTTTCAACCACACATTTTTTAATAAAATAATTTACACGTAAACTAAAATATTTTTCCTACTTTTTAACCACACAATCTCCAGAAAAATTACTATTAAAAAACTCATTTTTTTGTGAAAAATGGGGCTCAAACAGTTGTATAGTTTTTTTTAATAGCATTCCACCAAAATACTAATACTAAAGATAATTGTTTCCCTGTTCTGCCTTTGGGTCTCTATTTTTCGGCCACAATGCATCCCTACACCTGCAAGTTGCTTCATATTTTGCCTTTGGCAGCAGGTGCTGTTATGGCTATGGCCTTGAGTGGATCTATGGCTGCCTTGTGCACCCATTGTGGGACTTCCCCGTTGTTTGCGTCAGTTGTGCATCTTATATGAATTTTAATTAGCAGGCTTTCGGCAAATGACTAGTGTACTGTTTCATAGTAAACTTGGTGTTTTGTTTCTCAGGTTTGTGACAGTGATCAGAACACAGAATACATGTATGCCATCTCCCATTGATAAAATTCGCATGGAGAAGGTATTTACTCTAGTGTGTCCACTCCATTCTTTGTTTTGTTGATTTTCATTTTTCATTTCCGCCCTTCAGTTTTTACTATCTGATTCTAGAGCCCAAGAAATTACAGTTTCTCTTCCACGTGCAACTTTGATGCGGTGTTTCTGTATTTCAGCTGATAGGAGCAGATCACGAGGATGCTGATTTCATGGTGAGCGATAAAATGTGCGTTAAAGCAGATCGAGATGGAAATGCCACTTCAAACTTCCAATCTTCCCTGAGAAAATCAAGTAGGAATACATCAACCCAGCGAGAAAGAATAACAGGTCTGGGAACATAGGATCCTATGCTGCTCAGCCCCTATCCTTTGTCTCAAGTGGTATTATGAATTCTATGTCGAGAACCATTGGATCAAATGAAACAAATGAAATAGGAACTGAGAACAAAGGGGTTTCGGACTTGGCAGAATATGGTGCATTTGAGATGCACACCACAGGGTTTGAGTAAAAAATGTTGGCGAAGATGGGATTTGTAGGTGGAGGCTTGGGAAAGGATGGCCAAGGCATGGCTCAGCCCATTGAAGTGTTTCGACGACCTAAATCACTGGGCTTGGGTGCTTATGTCCCTGAAACAAGTGATGGATCAACAAATATGCAAATTCAACCTATGTCACTTGGATCAGGTAGAAAGTCTTCAGGGAAAAATGAGAAACTGGCAAGAAAGAAACTCAAATATTTGGCAGTTTCGAAATGCATAGCAAGGGGTTTGGATCGAAGATGATGGCAAAAATGGGCTTTGTTGAAGGCTCAAGCCTTGGCAAGGATTGACAAGGCATGGTCAATCCTTTAATTGCAGTGAGGCGTCCGAAAGCAAGAGGATTGGGTGCAAGTGTGCAACGAGTTGAAAAGTGTAATTTTCGGTCACTGTTCATCCAAATTTAGCTGGTTACATGACATCCAAATGCACCATTTACAGTGTCTAAGATATTGATTAAGGTTCCAATCGATGTTATGGTATTTTACATTCTTGTAGTCTACTTGTTGGAGGCATGGCGAGGATCCTCTCGGATTCTGGTTCTCCTCTTTGTCTAATTTCAATGCTTTAAAACCTATATTAATGACAATTGGATTAGTATGAAGTAGACCCCTCCAATGATGGGGCACCATGTGTCCATTATGGTGTCCATTATGTACTTCTAGCACATCTCATTATGGAATGCCTTGAGTTGCAGTTGCATGAATAATCCGTTCACAGTTGCACAATTTGAGT